GAGCTAACTGCACAGATAGGATAAAGGGGCTACTACACATTGTTAGCAATACATGTTTCACGCCTTCAACACTTAGAATTATTGTAACAATAAATGTAAACTGAGTCTAATTAATTATGGGACAACCTAATGCTTGGCTTAGGATCAGCTATTGGTCAATGAAGCACACTGCACACTGGAGAAAATCACAAATACATATCTTATCCATACTTATTTTTGGAGTATACGCCAGGTACCATCACATACATTTAAGTGCCATAACTGCCAGCAATTTCTTCTGAAGAAACAAAAAAGGTACCAGTTTATTGAAAATTCGAAAGATGAAGCAAATTACAAATATACACAACAGCATAGAATGAAGAGGCGATTGACACCAGGTGAACAATTATGCAACCTACATATTATGAACGTTTTCGATGATCCGCACCTACTGCTTCTCCTACGCTTTTAAAACCATCTCGTTTCAGAAGCTCTGCCAACTCCCTTTTCACCTGAAAACGAAAATGTTCATTAAAGACGAAAACTGCTGAAGGATTAGGCTAATAGTTACAACAAAATTGCACCACATCGGATTCGATAAGGTAGTCTTATTTGTTTAATAGATGTCCTATCTTACCTTCCCGATGACTGGAAAGCCTTGAAAAGCAAGCGCCGTGTAGAGTTGGACTACAGAAGCTCCCGCTCGTATCTTCTCATAAGCATCTTCACCACTTGATACACCACCGCATCCAACTATGGGAATACGTCCTTGAGTAAGCCTACAATGTTTTTCACAGGTGATCACCATAAACAGTGAAAGGAAGCTTGACTGAAAGGTTAAGAAAAAAATTGGATAGCTCACCTATACATTTCTTTTATACACTCCGTACTGAGCTTGCGGATCGGTGCTCCACTAAGACCACCGGCCTCATTTTTAAACTCGCTTTTGAGAGATTCAGGACGAGAAATTGTTGTGTTGGAAACAATCAAGCCATCGACGCCATACTTTTTATCCATGACTACCTGAATCCATGAAAACGATGGTAGATCAACAACTAGGTCTAAGAGTAGTACCTGTGCGATGTCCATTTTTTCGGACAGTTCGAGGTCTGGAGCTATTTTCAGAAGAATTTTAGGTCGTTGCTCCAATCGCAAAGCATCGAGGACATATTTGACATGAGAAAGCAGCTGAAATTACTGTGATACAGAGCAATTTCGCTGAAAAAGATCGATAAGAACAAAGTGGTTTCTATTCGAGTGTGAAATAATGAGACTCAATATGAACCATGTGAAATAGCAAGACCAACGAAATAACCAGTGAAAACCAGTCCATTTCTCCAAGGTACTACTTTACGGCATGACTTAAGAAAGCGAAAGGGAGCACTGTTGAAACTGACAAAACCATCGGTCTGCTCCCTTCCCACGACAGAACTTGGCATTTACTGTAACTGACGTTTGCTCCTTAAAATGGCGTATAAGGCACTGCTGAACCTCAAACGATAAAACAACATGACCTACCATGTCTCCCAAACTCCGACAAGCGCATGGAAAGAAGTGCACCTTGGAGCTGCCGCGTGTCAGGCTACGCATTGAAAAATCGGGTGGAAGCGTCGCATTTTGGAGAATAGAGACAAAACGATCGATAGAATAGGATGGAGTAGAAGTGTGAGATGTTAGTGCAATAAGTCAAATGGTCAAAAAAAGTTCCTACTGACGGCTGAGTGGACACATGTACGGCGAGAATTTGCACGCGTGACAGTCCTCCTGGTTTTCCGGATTTTTTTACCATTACAATTGCGATATTTTTGTTCTTTTCGTTCTTATCGTGAGCGCTAAGTTTACAGCCAGTAACTTGTAGGCGATATAGAATCATAGTCCATACGAAAAGGTTCTCTTCAAAAAGTGAAAATAATATTATTTACGCATAACTGCTACTATCTGGGACCGCAGTCGCAGTTAGAGCACGGGGATCTTACTATGACTGCGACCTGAGTCGCCTTCTTATGAACTACACGGATGCCCAGTATATACGTAAGATTCCGTGACTGACAATGCGCCTCAGTGCGCTGCTGGTCGGCACGCATTAGGTTGCCTTCAAACACCCACTGAAAAACTCACACTTTGTAAGTCAGCTTTCTTTTGCATAGATCGGAGGCCGGGCGTGTTTGGTGAAGAAACATTGACGACAAGATAATCACAATTTGCAGCAAAGTGATTGACGCCAACCTCGTAATCGACCCTGTAAACACAACAAAAATAACTTTTCATGTTCCACCGTTCAGAATTGAAAAAAGGCGACACGAGAAATTTCCTCATTTCTCAACATCGCGATGCTTGAATTGCAAACGTGAAAGTTAGGGTAACAGTATTAAGAAGAATATCATGCAGCAAGAAATCGTGAAAGGAAGGGAAATAGCAAAATAGCGAAGAAGGAGAAGTATGATAGCAATTGTAAATATGCTTCTATCATATAATCGCTTGGTGTAATGGTTTGTACGTTTGCATTTCCTCTGTTTTTCTGTGTGTCCGTTCGCAAAATAAAGTGATGAGGCAACTAATGGATGCTGGTCAACGAAAGGAGTGTTCGAAGGTCATGCGATCTCAAGGCTTTGCAATAGTGTGATTGTGATAATACCCGCAAAGGGATATAAGCACTGAGCACCCACTGAGCACATCCTAGACTACTCCACATGGTGCTGCAGTGGCAGCCAGAGGGCAGAGGAGGTTGAGACGGAGGAGATAGCAAACCAATCAGTGTGAAAGATGGGGGATAGGAGAGGGATAGAAAAATTACCTCCAAGGTTAGATCCAGTGCTGTGATTTGAGCCAGTTTAATGTGATGCCATGACTGCGGTTAGCCTCTACAGTGAAACTCACCATTTGTGAATACACTTCCGCTATATCGCCTTACATCCCTTCCACGAGGTGGACTTCATAACAGGAATTTAGCCTGGTAAGCAAAAACGTGACGCTTTTGCTGTACTCAGTGATACTTATTGGTACCGACGTCGGACCAAACTGGTAACAGAAAAAAAGAAAAGCAACAAATATGAGTTGATTGTGCTGAAGATTCCGGAAAAGGAGAGCACATGAAAATATGAATGGCAAGGAGAATAATATGCAAGTGCTAAGAGAGGGATTTGCGGTTTAGTTTGCGATCCTGCAACATCACACGATCGCAGGATCGCAGTCGATACGTACCTGCTCTACATTCTAGCTGTAAAGCAGCAGCAGAGAGTAGGACAATTGCCTAAAACGAATAGGCTAGAAAGAGATGGTCTAAATAGAAAAATCTGACAAGGAAAGGATGGTAGGTCGAAGTGGCCGTATAAAATGAGATGTATACCACCTGATGCGTCTCCAGACGCTGATTCCAAATCTGCCTTCCAAATCTGCTAAACGGCTCTCCGAACGGAGTTATGAAGCGTAATAGCTCAGTGGTGATGGTCCGGGGTGGCAGGTAAAAGCTCGTAGGATCGGTTCCTTTGCAAGTTTGTTGCTTTGCTTTTGTCCGCAACACTTCTAGAGACAAAAGCAAAGCAACCAATTTGCAAAGGAACCGATCCTACGAGCTTTTACCTGCCACCCCGGACCATCACCACTGAGCTATTACGCTTCATAACTCCGTTCGGAGAGTCGTTTAGCAGATTTGGAAGGCAGATTTGGAATCAGCGTCTAGAGACGCAGGTGGTGGATGTATTCTATACGGCCACTTCGACCTACCATCCTTTCCTAGTGAGTAAATAAGCGATGTATAAGCTCTAAAGTGATAGGGAAAACGACATCAAAACAACGGGGGGTGCCAAGAGAAAGCGCAGGGCAAATATAGAGCAGCATCCTGATGATGAAGTTGAGAAATGGTCGAGATATGGTCGACGAAATACATGCAATGAATCCACACAAGCTATGTATCCAAAAAATAGCTCTTACGTTGACGAAACTTTAAATTCTTTTAAAAAAAATTCAAAGAAATGATCTAAAATCGCCACATACTTTGGATCTTCAGTGAGCTTGTTCTTTCCAAGGTTTACTCCTAGTACAGCAGTGTCGCCACTCCGTCGAGCTCTGGCCGCTTTGACACGCTTGGAGACCTTGCTGGCACCATCGCTGTTGAACCCGTAGCGATTTATGATTGCCTGATTTAAATCTTTATTAATACCGCGTAAAAATACAACATGTTGCTTCACTTGGGTTGCTATCAAAAAATCGCAGCTGGGCTAACACAGGTGGTGTAACCTCAATATAGGAAAAAGCACAAAGCAAGCAAAATATGGCCTACGCAGGCCTGACCAATCAGTAATCTGTTTTTCTCTGAGCGAGTTTTAACAGATCTGAGAGGTCTTGCATAGTGGTCGACACTCACCCTAGCACAGCTTAGGCTGCTTTCATAGTCTGCGCCGGTGCACGGTTCGTGCGGTCCGCACGGACCGAGCGGACCGCGTCCGCGGACGGCGCAGACTATGAAAGCAACCTTAAAGAAATGACGATGAAGCACCTATTTATGGAGATTCGAAGGCAGAGGTGTGGTTCATGATAAGGGGATGGGGGGGGGGTATATGGCGATTGAAATGAGTATAGAGATGCAAAGTAAAACGGCAATGGAAAAAACTGAGAAAAACCGTCGACAAGGCCGTTAACAAAACCCTCTTTCCCACTAGCAATGAAAGAGGCTGGCGTGGGGAAAAGGCACGCACAAACAAGTTTTCTGGAGATATCAGCGGTTATATCGGTTTGATTTATGGCAATAAACTAGCTGGGAGTTTGCGACATGTTATGCCAGCCATGCACACATCCAGGTGGGCGGTCGTAGCGGGGCCAGGCGGCGATAGCGCATAGTACATGCCCTGGGGCCTTATTACTGCGCCGTTTCGGGTTTTGAGTGTGGGAACATCTCTACGGGTGCGTAACCAAGTACAGGCATGACCGAAAGGGTTGGTTAGGTAATCCGACCTTTGCTTTAGTAGGATGGTGGGGTACGTAAGATGGGAAAAACATAGAACGGGCCAGAACCCGAGAAATGGTACCCCTTCGTTTCAGCGCTGATTTCCTCATTGATACGACTTGCACTGTTGTGCCCTCTTCAACGCCAACGCTCCTTCTGCTATCTAATCACTCGCCGCGTGTAGACCTGTGGCGAGAGGATCGACGGTCAGTAGCATGCTTCGAACCGCGCAAGAGTTCGGCGCGGGTGGCGTCATTATTTCGCTTCATAGTGCGTGGCAGTCCCCCCAGGAAGATTGCCTCTTAGGCGATTTTTCTCTTCCTTGACCTTTTCTTATGGTGAAATTATTTTTAAAGTGAGATAATCGAATCCATAGAATGGCAACAAAACATGTTGACAAATTATAATTTGTGTGCGCATCAAAAACTACTAGAACTTCTCTTCGAATCCCTACACCGATTCGAGAAGAACTGTCACAAGCTAGATTACCATACTGCCCGTAGTGGGGGGTTTACGGTGTGCAAGCCGTACTGAAGGCCATGAAACGTCACGAGCTGTGTCTAACGTTCAGCAAAAGCGTGAGATGTAATTCTATAACAATTTACGAATAAATATCAAACCTCATCTTCGAGTAAGCGGAACACTCGTGGTTTTGCATTTCCTTCCTGAGGTATCGGGGTTACTGATCCCACTTCGACAAGACCAAAACCTGACACCTCTGAAAGAGGACCAACAGCTTCAGCGTTTTTGTCGAAACCGGCGGCCAGCCCAATTGGATTTTTAAGCGACATTCCAAGAAACTAAAATTGCGCATCTGAACATTGAGAAAATGTATATGTGTTCAACGTGTTTCATAAGTGTAGAACTGTTGCTGCAAATAGAAATGCAAATGGTGTGCTACCGTCATTTGCGACCGCTCAGTAGACTGTAAATTAATAGTTTGAGACGGTCTGGATAGAAAATAAGGATAGCTCTGGCAAGCTTCATAATGACCGCGACCCGTTTTTAAAAAGTATGTCATGGAGGGAATGTAAATAGTTCAAAAAGAAAAGGCTCAGAACACAGCAAAAACATTCAGCGGGATCAGGTTCTATTCATTGCTTACTTAAGTCGCAACAAAAGCAATTGCGGATTTGACGAAGAATCTTTAAAAAAAACTTATATTTTTTAGGGAATTCAACTTCATTCCGAATAATTATGCCACAATCAGCCAGAACTGTCAGCCTGGTCCGCTTGAGTTTGAATACCTCCCTCCCAGGAATAGACAGGCTGCTGATCCAAGAAGTGCTGAATATCCATTTCCATGCTGGGTAAAATCGTATTACTTACATTTCCAGGATGAGCTATGGACGAAACAGGTGGCATTCTGATGAGGAAGATTTGGTTAGAGCAGAATAACGGGGAAAGCTTCGATACATTTTCCTTTCCTGAACTTTCTTCGCGATACGTGATCGAGAGTTATCATGCAGCCAAGAACTTTCGTGCGCGAAAATTGACGACTTTGCGGCAAGTTTGTGCCCGAGAACAATGCTTATACTGTCAAAAGTGGCACTATCAGTCGGTCTCTTTAACCCATTCGCGACAATGTCGAATTAATGAATGCCACTGGTGGCTGACACGAAGACGTTCACTGGGGACAATGTCAGCCACCGGTGACTGAGAGCTTTAAAAAATTTAGTGAGCAATAGCAGTTTTGAGAAATGTTTTTGTGTTGAAAGCAAGCTTCATACTTACAATAAGTTGCTCAAGCCCGGGGATCTTTATTCACTTTAATTTTATTCAAAAACAATTTCACAAGTTTCAAAATTCGGCCCTATCCAATTTATTATGCCAGGGAATGAATTTTTCTAATCTCACGTTTATTATTGGCGTGGGTGTGAATTAGGGCGAAACTGCATCGATATGGTGCAACAGCTGCTTCCAGAAAATTCATAGAAAACTTGCGTGCAGGGTTTATTTGGTCGCCCCCTGTCACGATATGACATTCTTTTTCACAAAAGTCAAATAGCGCCGTTTTGAAGCAGGCACCGAATTTCACTGGCGGTGCAGTCAAAAAAGTCGCAAACAGTTATGCTGCAAGCATTCTCAACATCAACAAGCATAGAGAACATTGTATTTTTCGAGTTAATGTTTAGCTTTGTATGATAAAGTCGAACCTCACATGCTAGTTCGTCATATTCCCTTCGATTGGGTCCAAATCGCGGAATGAGACCCCAAGAAGCTGCACGAACGGCGAGATTGTGGGCTGCTTCCCCGTCAATGTGCTTATGAACAAGCGGCATCACCTGCAAACAGTTGATCCCACTTTTTATAACATAATTTATGAAAGAGATGCTCAGAAACAAACCGCTTTATTGTAAAAAGTCTCGGAGCCCCATAGCATTTCAGTAGCCGCGTATCCGAGCAAACCACCTCCCACCACAATGATAGTCGACTTTGTTATGTAACCCGTCGGTAACCGGGAATACATGAATGAAATCTGAAATCACCTTTCTAACCAGCAGTTACGACATCAATCACATGGATAAAGAAGTGTGAACGAAAAAATCACGATTTGAAACAAATGAAATAACGGCTTCAATTCCAGTATGAGGTGAGGGAGGGGCATTGGGTGAATTACCTCGTGCCGATTACAGTATTCCTAGTTTTTGTGAGGAGCTAGCTCCAAGGTGGGTGAACCAATTCTGTTGTGTGTAGAGGCTACTAACAATAAGTGAATAGCACACAGTTCAAACATCCGTAATTGTGATAAATTTCTCATGATTTTTGATGCTTCAGACACTCTACACAAACGCCCACATTCCTGGAGGTTACTTTACATACGAATTCGTTCATTTCGCAGAAAAAGAAAAAAATCCACAGTGTCCTGATTATTTGTTTTCTCGTTCTCGCTAGAGTGCTATTATTCTGTATTCATTCCACTCTATAGGACGTCGACCTCTACTTCAGCATACTTTCGCCTTCAAATTACTGTTCACAATATCGTTCTTGAAAAGAAAACCTATTGGAGTTTATTGCTTTGGGAGATGCGGCCATGAAGCTCACCGAGGCCCATGTCGCGACCCACACGTGGCTCGATAATACCACAGAAGAATGAAGTCCATGTTGCTTTCCAAACATTGATTACTACAATTTATAAACCATTAAATTGATTGGCCCACTTGTCGGTGTGCATGCACCATTCCACAGAGTGTCAGAAGGGAGAACTGGCGTGAGTGATGGGAAAGTAGCCGCTAACATTACTAGAAAATGAATCCGTGCGGAGGATCAATCAGGCGTTACTTTGTGAACGCGGTAACACCCTCTTCTAGTTTACCATACCCTCCCCTGCTCTTTCTGCATACACACTCCACGCTGTTGACCTCACAAATGGTATGGAGTGTATTGGAAAGTGTAGCGCAGACAGAAAGAGGGAAATCCTCGCGGGTGCCGTAGGACAAATCCGGATAATCTTCGTGAAAACGTGACTCTGTGGCTCTTGCTTGGAAAGGGCATGGATTAGATCTACCTGTTGAATAATACTCGAACAGAAACTACTACAACGTTGATGGAAAAATCCATCAATGTTGTAGTACAAACCATTGAAACCATTTCAAATGGAGCAGTAACTGTGCTAGGGCTGATCGGATAACGTAAAATCATGGACAACAGGCGAGTAGCCCGTTCCGCGTATAATCGGTTTGAAAATGAACATGAAGCAGTTCAGCGGACTCCTTCCTAACAATTAGACTTCAATGCACTCCTTGATCGCTGATTTATCAAATCAATGCATTATTCTGGCCTTTCACAGGATCAACGTACAAATACGACTGTCATGTCCCTGACAACTCTCTAAATACCTGTTAGGGTTTCAGTAAAGCTAGCGGGTAATCCAAAACATACGTTTTTCTTCTTTTTTAGCGCGAAGGTTAGCGAGGAATGCGCAATGTGCCTCAGGGAGGGGACAGGGGTAGGCCACTAGATCTAAGCCTAACGGAGAGAGACGATTGCAAAGACAATAAGGATTGTTTACGCACCTCAGATTCCCTCTCTTTCTCTAATCGTAAGACTTGAAAGGAGGAGGGGGGGGGGGGGGATTCCAGTACAGAGTGCGCTTTTTCAACACAGTTTCTTGGACCATTGAAGAACAATCATGTACTCCGTAAAACCCGTATGTATTAATCACGAAACCATGTTTCGTTTTCGCTAAACGGTTTTGCAGTACCAAAGTCATGAACGTTCTGTTGCTGGTTCGAGATCCCCGTACGTTAGAGTGGCGCCTACCGGGGTCATAATGACAAAAACCGCGACTCTTTTCGGCTCTTCGCAACGCGACATCGCGCGGCAGGCTGGCGCACCCGCAGCGAAAACAACTACGGTATGGAAGAACGCGCGATTGGAGCGCGATATTTGTGTCGGCTTTGATTGCGACAAGGAGTTTGAAGCTTAATAGCCATGGATTTGATAATGAACGAGGAAATGGTAACCAGAAGTGGGCCGCTAACTAGCAGCGAAGAGGAAGGTAGGTTATTTTTGCAGAGATGGATGGTAGACTCTGGAGAACCTGGAAGAGGAATGTTGATGGACGTTTGATGAGACGACGTAACCTTCTGCATAGGGGTTATTTGGGGCCCTGATCATGAATATGACACTCATTTTTCACATTCGTGCTGATTAACGCATACTTTCTGCTTTCCTAAGCTTTCTTACCTACAGCGCTTACTACTAAGCTTAGGGGAGGGGAGTGAAACTTCTGAGTGAGTAAACCACGCACCGTGAGGCAAAAGTTGGAGTGTGTCAGACCACAGGGGAATGGCCTACCCACTTTGGAGCCCTACACTACTCAAAGGCTTAGTCCTATTGCGATCTAATTAGTGCGAGGGCGCAGACGAGCAGGAAGCAGGCGCCGAATAGCGCTAACAACAAATCAGGACCCCGAATAACCCTTATACAGAAGTTTACAGCGAATTTAGTGGGAATCAGTTGTGGCGCCACCCGGCCCCAAATGGCGCCAGCGTCAAAAATGAGTATCATATCCGTGATGAGGACAGAAGCGTTCCGTAAAAGATGTTATACCCTTATGCAGATGTCTATACAACAATATGAACCCACAAAATGCAAGCATAACGACACTACTAAATCCTCCTTCACCGATAATTAGTAAAACATCATTTGTGTGGCATCGCCCGGAATCGTGTAAGTCACAAAACGTTTCACCACCAAATGAGCAGAGTTAGTGATTCACCGCATTTATCAATACAATGGGTGTGAGCGCGGGCAAGTAAGGAATCAGAAACTTACAAATTCACGCATGCAAAAAAGCTGCTCCAATCGCGCGTTCTTCCATACCGTAGTTGTTTTCGCTACGGGTGCGCCAGCCTGCCGCGCGATGTCGCGTTGCGAAGAGCGAAAAAGTCGCGTTCTGTCCTAAGTACCCACACACCCCTCTACTGTTACCCCGATGTGGCCACTGTCAAATCAAATGTCACTTTCAAATAGTGAAACCAATGTTGAACAACAGTAGCCGCCAACTGCAACTGCAAATATTGACAACCGAACGCACTAGACAGTACTTCACCTTTTTGACACGAACCGAAACCGTTACGAAACGGGGACACGGTTCATAGTCCATACAAAGCGCCTGCAATAACTGCAAAAACCATTTCGAAAAACGCGTATGCCCTGAGGACCGCCTTAATATCCATAAAACAGCGTTCTTGGAGCTGACGCCATTTTACGAGCTCTCGCCCGGGGCCGAACCACATTGCGCCTTGAGGAAGAGCAAGGAGACATGGAAGAAAAACCGGACTTACTTACGTACGTAAAGCACGGCTAAAACGCTCAAACAGAACTGCTTACGAACATAAAGAGCGTCAAATAGAGGGTGTTCTGCAGCCCGTGCAGTTGTGCTACTTGAACGCGCTTCGACCTACCATGGTTTTGTTGGTTTTCGAGTGACGCGTCTTCTGATAGTGGTGGATCCTATCTGTCTATCTGATCTACATCGTTGTCTGAAACGGTTTCAACTTTCTCAAGCTTGTGAATAAAAGACCTCATGGTGCTCTTTTCACGGCAATATCCTCAATGAGAGGGTTTCGTACCGTCTCCCGTATGATTTGTTTCTCGATTTTATATCCACTAATTCGCCTGCCTTTGATTGTCCATGATTCTTTTCTTTTTCCTGGCTCTTCGAAATTCAGTTCATAAATTGTCCAAAGAACCTGCTAATTTTTCATAGCCCGTATGGGCTAAAAATAGATAGCGCACCGTCGAACACTGGATGACGCATCTTTGATCGATGCGTGTCGCTATTCTTGGTTGCGCGCGTGTGTAATCAGTGGAAAGAATTCATAGTGGATGCTTCTCAAATGACGAACCCTGATTCTTCACATGCCTAATTTTGAAGCTTTGTAATAATGGAATCTCTAACTCAACAATTGCTCACTGCTGGTTGTGCAAGGCGCCGTGTTGTACCGTTTAAATTGGAAACGAGTTGAAACTCTTTCAAAACCCGTTTAGTCGGTAGGAGCCACTGTCACGTGGCTTTACAAGGAAATAAGTTTTCGTGAATGGTTGATATTTGGTGCGTTACTAATCTAGCCGTGTATTTGACTGGGCATTAAACTTGCTCTTTTAATGTTTTTTTTCTGCAGAAAAACTCTTATCAGTCTGTGAATCGCTGGAGCCGATCGAAGTTTTTGTTTTCATGAATCGTTATGCGAAGATATTCATATGACGTTTGCTATTGCATGACTGTTCGAAGGTCAACTCAGCCTTTGCTTCTGACTATATACTATATGAACTGTTTCGTAAAGTCATTACGATACCACCCGTTATGCGGATTTTTCCCACAGCCTGATCAACCACACACGAGTGCTTGCCACTCGAGAGCCGCGTTGTTAGGTAGAATAGTACAAGTGAACAGTCAGGAAGAGCGGCCGTATTAATCTTATGAATGTGGTGGTTATAAATGCCATTGCGTGGAATTACCACTGCTCCAGGACTTGCGTCAATATAGGTTGTTGTTTGTTTTTCATGCTGATGCTAGCTCCATTGCTGCGTGACATCTTTCTGGGCGAGAAACCAATTGTTGTGGCTTACACAGCGCTTTTTCTCGACATGATGAAATTAATATCTCATGTTCCATACTGACTTCAGTTGCGAATTCTTCTCGCATTTTTGGCGGTTTTTTTTTCAATCCATAATATTAACACAGTATGAATGATGGAGCAGACCATTCAGCAGCTGTTTGTCCAATCCCATCAAATTGTTACAGTTGAAATAATAGGATGCTTTCAGTGCCGCAGGAAGCTTTTGTGTAAGCTGTGAATGGATGTGTTTTTTTGCTGCTTAGAAGTTGCTCAGAAGGTAACAACTATTGAAAAAGGTTCCCCTTGTGACATGAAGTAGACCTCGACCTAATGATGACTTCAAAGAACGGTACCAACTGTTCACTTCTTCACAGGAATTCTGTAAAGTTCCAGTCTAGTTTCATCGCATCATTTTTGATGACACTTTGCTATAGTTGAAAGTTTTCGTGAAGTTGATCGAAACCACGTTTTTGAAAACTCTGTTCATTGTTCCAAACTTGTAGGTGCTTCCATGGTAGGTGAGCAAAAGGAGCTGTAATTTCGATCTTTCCCCCCCCCCGCGCTTCCACGTGAAAAGCCAATGCTTGTTGCAGTAATCTAAGAACGTTGACCTATCGATCTTTCTTCATCTTTATCTTTAGCCTTCTCAACATGACTCGATTAGAATGATGTACTTATCTATGCCATTATTCGTCAAAAGGAACCAAACTCCAGCTGTATGAGTAACAACTTTTTCTTGGTATGATTTCATCATGTGTTCTCAGCTACTGGCGAAAAATGCAGTTTCTCAAAACCTATTTTGTTAACAAAACAATTCCCAACCTTGACCTCTCTTGGCTACCAATGCAAGCTGTGGTGACATACGTGCGTTCCTGCTTAAGATAAGCATCTCCGATAAAGCCGTTGAGATGACCCTTGATCTGTGGACCGTAATAATTGCGTTAAATGGTGAGAAATTCTATCACGCCGAAGTCGGAAGTAACTTAACTTAATTAACTTACGGAAGTTTCAGCCATATACTTCCAAATTTATTTTGTTAGAGTGCCTCTAAAAATGATTCTGTACGATTCTTCTTCAGCCTGGACTGCTAGCTGCTAAGTCTTTATCTTTCGCTTAGGGTGCTAAAATGCTCATTAGTCGTAGGCGTAGCGATGTTACATTAATACAAATTCTAATCAATTGACACTACAGTAAGTCACTTTCAACAATGCTCAACAAACATTTCGTTCGTTGTCGATTGCTCATTCTCGCTAATGTCTCACATTATTGATATCCCCTTGGAATATTTTCGCAAAATGCTACTTTAGTGCAGGCAACAATAATCTCAACCCGTTATCTCAGCACTGTTTACTCGCAGAGTCCACCTTCAGTCAAGATGTCAATCTTCTTATCGGAATTGCGACTATCGTTGAATCTGACCATTATATTAATTTGGCTTCTTGTGCTTTTAGGTATCCTTAGCTGTACGGAAATGACAGCGCATGGTAACGAAGTCGAACAGGATAAGCTGGATATCCAGCTAACGAATATGGATGTAAGTGATGTATTTATTGTGCGTTATTCGTCGTTGAAAGCGTTTTGATATTCAAACAATAAGTGATTCTTGTAGAAAACCGTGGAACCATTCAAATCCATCCGAGGAAGATGAAGTAGAACACGTTCAGCTGAAGTAAATTGTTACTCCTCAGATTTCTACGCTTAGTCATATTTGATGCCTGAGTTATTACACTATTCAGGGTATATGGAAGAAGATGGGTAATTCTTACCGTAGTAGCGTTACTAAATAATACAAACACGATGTCATGGATTGCTTTCGCCCCTGTGTCGAACTATGCGAATAGTTTTTATGGCGAGAATAGCGCGGAATGGTACAGAATTCTTTTTTTTCTACTTTAGATAGTAAGCTCCTAATTTCTTGTCGCAGGTTTTCTATGGTGTATATGATCTGTACAATACCAGTTGGCTTCTTCGCTATGTGGACAGGTCGTCGCTTCGGCTTGCGGAGTGCTATCTTAATTGCAGGTATTTTGAAATTCTTTGTTTTTTTTTCATTCCCCTCCAGCCTACCGTATCCGTGAGACAAGTGTTAGGCCCTTAGGAGCTTCCTCATTCTGGAGTTGGACTCGATAAGTTGTATTTCAATAAAAGTGTCGCGTTTGTGAAAGGATAGTGTTCGGCTGCCTCTACTTTTGATCCGATGTTTTCGTTTTTCTATGTTTGATAGCAATCTCTATTCAAAGGATGGACAAATGGTATTGGCGGCCTGATTCGGTTATCTAGTTCATTCCTTCCTCTGCAATATCGGTTCCCAGTTGGAATCACTGGACAGGCGATTGCTGCAATTGCTTACCCTTTTATTATGTTTTTGCCGACGAAGGTAATGTTGCTGAAGATTGATTTGTGGCGGATTTTTCTCAAAGCTGACTTCAGGTTGCGGGATCATGGTTTCCCGATACTCAGCGCGGCTTAGCAACAACCATTGGAATAATGTCTAATCCGCTTGGAGTACTTCTGGCCAATGTGATCAGTCCTCAAATGGTCCGTGCTCCAAATCATATTGTGTACTTGAACATCTTCACGTTTGTTCCTGCAGCTGTGGCTATGGTTCTTGCAACGGTAGGTTATTGTGCAGCTGATCGTACTGCCCAGGGAATCTCCTAATACACCTCTTCACAAAAATGTTACTTTTAGTTCGCGGTTAAAAGTAGCGAACCGAAAATACCACCGACGTTCAGTGCTAGCAAACCTCAGATGGATTTCTTCCCTGGTAATTTTTTGCCTTTTTTTTATCTAGTTACCCTTTTATTTGTTTTCAATTTTTTGCTATTCTTCCGCAGTGGCTAGTGGAAAAGCAGATTTGGTATTGTTTGACTGCGTACATAATTCGAAAGTGAAGTTAACTTTCCTTTTAAAGGAAGTGGTCACGATAATTCTCATAGGGACGATAAGGAAAGCTGTGTACTGGAGTGGATAGGGGTCCTGCCCAATGTTAGAACACGTGAAGTTTCAGTGGCAGTGGCGCCTTATCAACGGAGTGATAAGGCGCCGAAATCCACTTCCGTTCAGCAAAAACCAAGACTTATCGATGTGGAAAGGGGTGCGATAAGAGCGTGCTAGATATGATACCGTTATCGTTATCGTCCCGTTTTCATTCTGGAGTGCACCTCTTATCAAGCAGCCGCACCTTCTTATCTCATCGTATCATATCTTCCATGGGCTTACACTCGTCCAACAATTACTGCCTCACACCTTATCGATTGATAACGCGAGGGTAGCAAATCCAGCGTGGAAGCCAGCGTGATCGCTTCCTTTAATATTAACAATAAAAACTATACGTGGAGCCCTGAAAACAAATGTAAGAAAGATTCCATCTACGGAACTTAATGTGCTGTTTAATGCCCTGCCTAGCATTTATTTTAGTTGTTTCCTCCAATTGTTGCAAGATAAATTGTACTGCAAAAAACGTGTCGTTTCACGGATTTAGTCAGTATGGCGGTTTTGGAGAAATTGACACCTCATTTACTTCTGTTCACGTTTTAATGGTATAACATGGCATTTGTGCTATGAATCAGCACTTGCGATAGGTCTTGCCGCTGCTAATAGAGTATTACTGGGCGTGGCAGCGAATTTTCAACAGTAGCGGACATCATAACAGTGTTGCGCGATGCGGTAGCGTGCCAACCAAACCGGTGAATATAACCGTATTTCTGAAATAGACTCCACATGAGGAATTCTGCCTGCAATATTTTCATATAGTTAGACGAAAGAATGCTTCACATGTTAAACGTGAAATTTTAACTGAGTGACTTCTAGGTTTGAAAGCGTGCATGATGTCAAAACAATACATTATCTTATTTATCGTCATGGGTGGTGGAATCGGCATGTTCAATTGTCTCTACACCATCATGCAGGTACAATTTTGTTGATGTAACGATGCTTTATCATTTTTTCTCTGATGAAAAACTATTAATGAAGGGCCTCCTCTGTCCGTCTGGATACTCAAATTCTTTTGTTGGTCTGTGTGCTGCTCTCATGATTATCGGCGGAATCGTTGGAGCTGCCGGAAGTGGTTCGTAACCAGCTTTTTCTACCCCAGCCACCATGGCTTTTTTATTCCGTGACTTTTTCCACACCTGAAAGTGTCGCCGCGGAAGGGAGGTATGCCTTAGAGCAAAGCGTCCTACTGATGATACACGGCGAGAGAGCATGGTGGAGGGAGACATTACGGCTCTCTACTTTCCAGCCTGCTCTCGATCCCACCCGCCGCAGCCACGCATTAAGGTGTGAAAATGTTGCGGAGCCGCTCTTTTAATATTTATCATATTTTTATTCATCACGTGGTTTTTTTCTGCAAGTGTTTGTAACAAAACTTGTAGGCATGTTCGTGGATCGCACAAAAATGTATGAAGAAACTATGAAAGTCTCCATGGGTCTTGCTGTAGTTTTTGGACTGATTTTCATGCAGGTGCCTTTTATAAATTGAAATTGAAGGCTTTATAAGAAGGATTGCGTAAAGTTTATTGCTTTATCGGTTCTAGTGATGCCAATTTCAGCTTACTCTCCACCCAAATTTTGCACCCCTCCTGGCCTTGTCCTGTGTCCTTTTCGGTATATTCGGATTAGCTACTTACCCTGTTGGCCTCGAATTGTCGGCTGAGTGCACGTTCCCAGTATCCGAATCTACATCAACAGGATTAATTGTTCTTTGTGGACAGGTAAATTTGTAGTTTCTTTGTTGGAATTCCTGCCGAATTAATGATGCAAACTTCAAGGTTCAAAGCGTTTTGTATGTCCTTCTCATGAATCAGTTCGCACGTCCACTTCAGCCGGAACGTATGCATGATCAGGTATCTTCTTTCATGTGGACATAAGCCATGAATTCTTTACCTGTATTCACCTTATCGTTAATGTGCTTCACGTGTGCTAAAGGTGCTTTCCTTAAATGGATCAATTTTTGCTCTTTTCATCTAAAATTTACTTTCTTAAGGTCTGCACCCTCGATGTGACCGACAAGATGAACCAACCTAAAGACAACACACAAGCTGTTATGGTTTGTGCACTCTGAATATTTATCATTTGTTCCATTCTTTTGCATGCCTTCATTTCAATTCGATACCTTTCTTTAAATGCTGCACCGTTTTTAACACCCACATGTAATCTCGAAAAAGGACTTCATTTGTCTATATTTTAAGGTGTTTTCACTTCTGGCCGCCCTGCTTGTTTTGGTGCTTGTCATTCTTTTCAAGCCAGTCTATCGCCGTTTGGAAGCAGAGAAGGAGAACAGAGCTCGTATCGACAAGGATAAGGAGTCACGGATGAACGATCAGAAAATAACTCTTCCTCGCGAAACCGTCACTCAACCGCTGAATAAGGCGGAAAACGTTTAGTATTGCATCTTCACTACTCGCTTGTTACAATTTGTGAATGTTCTCAACGCACAGGGTTTGACTTTTAGTTGTCATCCATTAAATGAAAGCGACGTATAAGTTAGTTGTGTTTCTAAAAGGGGTTGGTTTTTTACTGCCTCAACAAGGGAGAAAGCCTCGAACCTTCATTGTTGTGAAGGAGCTTATGTGGGGTTGCTGTTATAGGTGTTCTGTCGTTATTCTCCGCTACCAGAAGCAGTTGTAGTCCTGATGAGGCTCTCGGGTAATTTTTAACAATGGAGGCGCCGAAAGTCGTAGAAATCATCTGGCGTATTCTAGGAACAGCCTTGGCTTCTCCACCGTAATACTACAAGTCAAATCCTGTGTATTTATTCCTAATAATATTGTTGGTGTTTGCGTGGTTTTAGTTTGTACGTATCCTTTAACATTGAGCTTAAACATCCTTCATAATATTGCTGGAGGCACATTCCGCGATTATTCAGTTGGACTAATCCCAACGTAAGCAAGACTGCTGGGTTCTCAACTGCAGAGGTAATGCCACAATCGTGACACAAATTCTTATGTAAAGTTTAGTGGCCTACGATTTGCATCCGTGCTTATTCCAAGCCTCTTACGCCCTCCGTTCCGGCACATGTTTCTCGCGGGTACCCCCAGGAGGCCCGTCGCGCGGCAAGAAGGCAGAGTCGGCGGACGAGTTGCAGCGCGTGGTGTGCGATGTAGGACGTGCAATGGGACACTATTTAACTTGACGCGAAATCCCTATAGTACGCGCGCGACTCGTCCGCTGACTTTGCCTTCTTGCCGCGCGACGGGCCTCCTGGGGGTACCCCTGCTTTGCACCGCCATCTCGCGTCCGTTCTTGCATCTTTTTGATTTTCTGCCTTATGAAGCGTCTGCGAATCATCCACTGATCAAGAAGTGTCTCTCTCTCCCTTAACAGTTCCGTTTATTTTTCTCCTCTTTCCGTCACGGACAATCCGCTTCACGCATCTGCTTTCGCTTTCGAGGATAATCGTGGAGTGTTACCTTCAACTCCTCGTGTGCGCACAATGTAGTGTCTGTGTATGAGCTCAGAATACCATTCATCTTTCGTAAATCAAAGAGCTCTGTGAGATGCTCAGTCTGATCGAAATGAATTTCTGAGAGGCATGTGACGTCTGCTGATCGTATCAAAATGAACTGGAGTTTTAGTGTTGTTGCTGTTGTTGTTGTAATAATTTGCGCTTGATCTTTTAACCCTTATCATTTTTTATCAAAATGTGTTGTCTTTGAAAGCGTGTTACTTCATAGACTTTCACTAGCTTGAGGCGATATGCTCAGATCCTCTACCCGGCCGGATGTCACTGTTTTGGCACACGTGTAACGTAGTCATTTTGGCTAAGTTCTATTCCCGTTCATGGCCGGGACGAGGTGATTGTATCGCACAAACGTTTCTTTTATACATTGATATAATTCGTGGAAGTTTTAGGTTTTCATGTGTTATCCGATGTTACTAATCTGAGAGAAAATAAACCCGTCTCCCTGTTAGAATTCTCGATTCGAAAAGATACTAGTCCTCATGGAAACGTGCTGTGTACAGACAAAAATTTTATTTCTATGATATACAGAAATATCGAGGTTTGAGGAGGCGTGTCAACAGTCTTGGTAGGTCGACAGACTAATTGGACTCGATTTTTGCCGCCTCAATTCGAAGCTCTCGTCTGCGCTTTCTCGCCTTATTAGTGACTCACGACCACTGTGATCTCACACATTCAAACTTTTGCCACTGTAGTTGGCTCACCCACCTCGGAGTCCCTCCCCCTACAAGGCTTAGTCCTAGAGGCTCTCACCTCCCTCCTTGGGATTTGGAGCCGAGCCAGGCGCCGTTCTCTAATCATCTGTGCTCTCCGCCATTAGTGGCAGGACCGTAGAATACTGAACTAGTCGTGAACCGTCTTGTTAGAAAGACAGGGTAAAGTGATTAGTCCCACAGGAGGCGAAATCAACCACTCTCTGGTCACTTTGTGGTGTATGGTCTGCACCTGACGCTCTTCTTGTTTTTTGAAAGGGAGCGAGATGGGTGTTTTCAGCTGTATGCAGCTGGTTTCCAGTGGTACATGACTCCACCAGGCTTCCTTCATGCGCACGGTTCAGGTTGAATGCGATCGAACTCCGCCCACCACGCGAACAAATTCTTATACCTCAGAATTGTTAAAGGCAGTGACCACGGAAGAGCGTTAGGAGGTGGAGGACCGAACTATGGCCCTAGTGCGAAGGAGTTTAGTGGACATTCAATGACATCACCAAAATCGCACCACCCTCCAGTCGTCATGGTCACTGCGTTCAAGGATGCGACACTCGTCTAGGAGAACAAAAACACTGACTATAGGGATGGTTCCTACAAACATGTTATCCAAATCGCATTCATGTGTCACGACAATTTCGGATGGAAGTCGAAAGCTTAGCGCATCCCAGAAAAAACTGGGCAACGTTTTTTAAGCCCTCTTACTATTGCATGGATGTGTCATTCATACGCTCCATGAACAAGATGACAAACCCGAACTTTCCCATTCCGCAAAGCCAAGTACCACTTTCTTCGCTTAATTCCATGTGGCAGCATTAGTAAGGTGTGTACATCATAAGTACCTACGCGCCACGGATTTCGTGGATGTGTCAACGGGAATGCGCGTATTATCGCAGAAGTGGAACGTATGTGGGAGCAAGAATCCACATTCCTAGTCAGAAGAGACAGTAGAGGGTGAGCCACTCACTGATTCACAGCGGAATGCTTGAAAAATTGCTACGCGTATGGAACGACACCTAAAGCTGCGCAGCACCTAGCACGAACCAATAACATACCCAGTTACACCATAGTTTTATTTATTATGTCGCAGAT